CAACTCAAAACATCTGTCTTCAAGCTAGAAGACCAACTGAAGTCGAGCACAACTTCAGTTTCTCAAGAGTAACACCTTTAGTTGACATATCACTGTCAACGCGGCCTTGTACCTCCAAGCTCTTTCTTGGGTTACTCATGATTCTACTCATAACTCCCACTGCATGGGCAATATCCAATCTCAGTTGAAGACCTTTTTCAACAAGTCCAGTCTTGTACTTTTTACTGTTATCAAGCACAGTCTTCACCCGGTACACCCACTTGTTATGCATTGCCTTCTTCCCTGGTGGAAGTTCTGTCAGCTCCCACTTGCTCGAACTTTCATCTTGCAATATTTCTTCATAGCTCTGTGGTTCTCCACTATCTGTCCGTACAGGATCCAATTTTCCTACATTTGGCGCTCTGCCACTTTTTAAGAAACTGACTTTCTTCTGCTTCTTCATAATGCTCCTCTAACTCACGTGTCCACGCCTAAGTAAACATGTAGTCATATATAGTGTGTCAGTTTTCTTATCCCGAGCCAGTACTAATGCTCTTTTAGTCACCTTCTAGGTACTATCTGAGAACACTACTGAATGACCACTCTCATTGAGTTGCCCAACACAAATGAGATTTTTCTTCAATTCAGGAACGTGTCTAACCTTTTGCAAAGTCCATTTACTCTTGTAGGGAGTGCAATATCAACGTCTCCTATCCCCACCACATTTAGAGCTTTTCCATCAGCCAAATATACCTTCCCAAAGTTACCTGCAACATAGTTCGACATTAACTCCCGGTAGGAAGATGTATGGAAGGAAACACCTGAATCTAGAATCCAATCATCAACATAAATGTGAACTGCCAATAATAGCGCATCTTGTATCTCTTCAGTTATAATATTAGCGTCATCATTCTCCTTTTTGAGATTCCTGCAGTTCCTTTTTATGTGGCCAGCCTTGCCATAATTCCAGCAGGTTGTCTGCTGACCCGATTTTGATTTTGATCTTCCTCTGTTTGAGTTCCTGTCCCGTGATCTCCCTATAGAATCAACAATCAGTGCCGAACTCGAACCCGATGTCTCACCAGAATCTTTCCTGCGCACCTCCTCAACCAAAATCAAATCACGTATGTCATCATATTTTAATTTAGATTTACCTGCAGAACTGCTAACTGCCATCCTCATTGTTTCCCAGCTATTTGACAATGAAACCAACAATATCAGCGCATGAATCTCGTCATCAAAATCAATTTCAACAGATGACAATTGATTAGTGATATTATTGAGCTCATTCAGGTGTTGAGCAATAGAAACACCTTCCGCCATTTTTAGGTTGAATAACTTTTTCATCAGGTGTATCTTGTTGTTCGCTGATGGCTTTTCATACATGCCTGATAAAGCTGTCATGAGATCTGTCGTAGTCCTCTCCTTGATGACGTTATGGGCAATGGATCTTGACAGAGTTAATCGAACAACCCCCAGAACCTGTTGATCCAACATATTCCATTCCGCCTCGTCCATCTTTTTTGGCTTCTTTCCCAACAACGACAGATGAAGTTTCTTCCCATAGAGGTAGTCCTCTATCTGCATCCTCCAGTTACTAAAATTTGTGTCTTTGAACTTCTCGATCCTCGATGCCATCACTCCGTCTCCACCCATCGTTTTCTTTCAGCCTCGAACCAAGGCACTGATACCAGTTGTTGTGAAAAAAACAACGGCAATAAAGCGAAAAACAGATCTAGAAAAATTACACCATAAAAGGCGATATTAGATTTACGTGGTTCGACAAATTGCCTACGTCCACGGAGCTGTAGAGGATTTTATTAGCTTGGAGGATTACACTGTTGACCACGTCGACTTACAAGAAAGAATTATCTCTCTCTCTCTCCCTCCTCACCTTCTCTCTCTCTCTAAACCGAGAGGCACACCGAGAAGAAGAAAGACAACTTTAAAGAAGAGCTTCCTTGTAATTCCTTTATTTCAGTCTCACGATAAAGTATAATCCAAGGAGAGAAAGTTGTTTGGAGAGTAATCCACTTCCATGTAATCGTGAGCCCCTTTTAAAGCTTCCCAATATCCAGCTTACTTTGGTAACCCTTAATTTAGTGATTCCATAGAGAAAACATGGAATCATGCTTTAATGACCCATGTAAAGCCCATTAAGGCAAGCTATCAAATTCATTGCCTTTTTCTCTATAGCAACAGGAGGAGCGGGAGATTAATTTGGCAAAGCTTAATTAATTAATTAAGCTTTCCTTAATTCTTCATGTCAATAGAAGACAACTGTTTTAAATAAAAACAGGGAAGCATCAAGCTATAGCAGGTAACAAAAATATATAATAAACTTAAATAATTTCCATAAGTGTCGAAGTCGTCAATTTAAGGAATGGACCGAGTCTCCACCTTCCTTAACAGATACTTCTCAATATGGTTGAATACACATGTCACTTTTTTCACAAGTCATGATGCCAACAAATTCTACATTCGAATGGACCCCTATAGAGATTTCACATGATGCACGGTCTATGTCATATTTTAAGGTAATTTTTTTAATTTATTACATTCAATTTTTCATATAAATATCATAATTACGTAACCCTTTGTTATCTTTCTAAAACTATATTTGAGTAATTGATGGAACATATGTTGATGTGTCTGTTCTAAATAAATAGACTATTGTATTTACCAGTCGTTGTGGGTCCTCGATGCAGAATGTCATGACAATATGCGACTTCAACATATGCTTCACTTTTATCATGCCCGGTAGAGAGGATAGTGCACATGACAGTTAAATTTTTAAATATACAACTCATAATAACAAACAAAACTTCTCACATTCACCCACAAATTCGCTTGAAACTGAGCTACTCTCTTAGTTTTTTTCCTTCAACACTAATCATTCAATTCACATCAGGTAAATACTATTTGTTTGATTCTGGGTATCCTTTGAGGGTATTTTAAGCCTTATCCTGAGATGAGATATGATATACCTGAGTTTGAGCGAACCAACAGTGTTATGTGAGGCATGAAAGAAATGTTCAACAATAAAAGACGATTCTCTTTACGCGTTGTCATTGAGAGGACTTTTGGTGTTTGTAAGAAGAAATGAGTTTGACTTCGCAATATGTCATCTTACCTGTTTTTCAAGTAGGTGCAGATTGTGATTGTCACGATGACTTTTCATAATTATATTCAACGACATCTTTCCCATAATGACATCGGCTTTCATAGGACTAATGAGGATCTTGCACATGTCCCTACTAAGACTTATACGTACCAGCTTGGACAATCTTTGTCATAGGCCAAATATGATGCTCCGGAGACCTGCACTAAAAATGAGGAAGGCGCAAGCTAGATGACAGAGCTAAGGGAACGAATTACAAATGTGATAGTTTGAAGGTGATTGAAGGAAATATTGTTATTTATTTTTTTAAATTGTAATGATTGTTGAAGATATTTATTGTTTACTGTATCAATATTATACAGTTTATGTTTATTTCTGTTCCTTCTACATTCAATATTTCTTATTTTAGTTTTTTACGCAATTTACGTATGTTTTTTTTTTCTTTTGCATTTCTTTTTTTTCTTTTTGTTGATTTCAGAGGTCTATGATGAGACGTTTGACCTTATGGGTTCTTTTGGATGACCTATATGTCACTATTGATTGGTGTCACATGTGAAATCCTAAAGAAGATATCCAAGTTCCTCTCATATTTTCGGTGCTAAGGTTTTTTAGGTTCTTTTGGATGACCTTTTTGTGATATGTAAATGTGACATATACGAGCTTAATATTATGTGAGTTAAAAAAAACAAAGATCATTTTTTATCAGGTATGTCATCTTCTTGGTCGTCTTCTTTTAGTGACAAATTCATTTGTTTATAATTCTTAGTTCTTGAAGACCTCACAACTAAATAAATTTTAATGAATTACTTATGTTATTAATTTTTTAAGTCTTCTTGTAGTGACAGTCATTTGTTTATATTTCTTAGTTTTTTAAGACCTCACAACTAAATAAATTTTAATGAATTACTTATGTTATTAATTTTTTAAGTCTTCGGGAAAGATAAGCTCAAGGATTTCCGGTATCTCCAAAGGATTGCACTGTTAATGCAGACATTACAGTTCTCAGCTAACTTCACCTTAATCACATAGTTTCGAGAGACAATTTTGCAGGTGCCCACGGAGACTTACAAAAAACTATGACTATTTTCAGTGGATAAATAGACTAGAAGATTTCACCGCTGATAGTGATCGACCATAGAGAATATTCCTGGAGGACGGCTTAGCTCGCGACATACGCAGTTTACATTTTAAAATATTATTATCGTATTATTAATTATTATTTTAATAGTCATTTTCTTAATTTTGGCAGTCATGTTACTCGCTGTTAAGTGAATTGTCTATCTTTATTTTGTAATATTCTGCATTGGATATTTGTTTTTAAAGTATATAATGCACTTGTATGAACAATTATATTGCAAATAATATCACTATACAGGGGCAAATTTGTCATTTGTTCAGAAACAACTACAACCGGTTGTTTTCAAACTACAAAAAACAAACATACAATTAAGTTATCCACAACAACTTCTTATTAAGTTGCAGTTACCTCAAATAGACCCTTGATGAGAGAAAAACTTATTATTGTTGTTGTTATTGTATAAATTTTTATTAATTTTATTAAATCATAATTATACTAATTAAACATCTCATTTAAACATCAATTAATAATTTAATAAGCCAATGAAACAGAAATTCCAATTCAGAGAAAACATTAAAAAAAATTTATATTTATTTTTAATTAATTTTTATGTATTTAATTTGATTGACTGATCATCAAAATTATTTAATAAATTTTTTTATCAATTATAATCATGCTAAGGATCATAATTAATATAAATTAATATTTTAAATAAAATTTATTAAGAGTTCATTAAAATAATTAAAAATGATAAATTCCATTTAATCAATCCTAAGTGTTTATTAATATTAACTTTTTAAGCAAATATAATTTTAAAAATACTCTCCTTCTACCCTAAACGCCCCATCCACCCCATTTTTACGGAAACCGGAAACCTCGACGACAGGGGACATCGCGACGGTTGCTCGTGGCGGAACCACCAGTCTCCAAAGACGAAGAGAGGTTCGTAAGACTGGCGATTTTAGGTCAAAGCTGTGGAGAAATGATTGGTATGCTCACCACCATGGAAGAGGGCAGAAAAGCTGCGAGTCGCCTGTGCTCAATCTGCAGTCAGAGGAGACCCGTCCTCAGAAGGCCTAAAACCCTAGAACAGGTGTGTTTGTATAAACTATATGGAAATAATGAAGCTTGTTAACACTATGATGAAACCCCAGTCGTAGAAATGCAAGAAATGTTGAAAATATGCGTTTATTTAAACAGGTTATGCTTTAGGTTTGAATTTTAGTAGTATTGTATTTGTTGAAGTAAGCAAGGAACGAAAGTGTTATACGGAAACGTAGTTAGCTTCAAATTTTGAGTGGCTGGGTAGGAGTAATTCAGAGGCTGCAACAAGCTCTGAGACTTCAGTTTGGACCTTGTAAATTCAGTTTTGATTCTGAAGAAACGAGCATGATGTCACACAGGAGAAAATCAATTCGCAAGAGAAATTCAGGGGAACAAACTCATGAAACAATCTCTACTTTTATGACATGTAGATTTGATCAGGAATCCACAAATGTGAACAACTTACCACGTGGATCAAACGAATATGCTAAGAAGACTTTTTTCCAAAGGAAGTGGTAAAAATTTTTAATGATTCAATTATTTTCTTATGTTAGACACTTATTTCACGAATCATTATGTGAGGCAATTATTCACGGAGCATCAATTTCTTGGCTGTTATTGTTTCCAAGATAACTAATCCTCGATATCTGGTCTCTTCTTTTTTGTGTCCTTTACGGTGTGCATCGACAAACTAAATGGCAGATATGAAGAAATTATGGAAAGGGTAGTCTGTATGTCGTGTTGGTTCCAGTTCACAATTTATTGCTAAGGAAGATTTGCCTATCCATGTAGGCGGATTAAGTAGCTCTAACAGGACAACTAAGTGGCCCGAGGAACATAATGTTATATTTGGGAATTACTTATGGAACAATTTCTCCACGGGAACATGTTAAATTGTGTACTTAAGAGGGATATGCGGTGTGAGGTTGTTTGTACGCATAACCAAAGATTAGGCATAACATGTACAGAAGCAGTTACTACTATGAGATTCGATAACATGAAGACTGACTTTCGGATGTTGTACCAGTTATCTAACAAAAGTGGTTGGAGTTGAGATGAACAATTGCACATTCTGGTCACAGCTGATGAAATATGGGATGAAGTAATAAAGGTATGAATGTATTCAGGCCTGCTATCTTATAATTATTACTTGACATAAGGTAGATATGAAAGCTCTCACATGGCTAACTATTTTCTATAGGAGAACCCCCCCAATATAGCTCGCTTTCGGAGGAGCCTGTTTCACCAATACGACCTATTTGAAAAAAATTGCATTGACGACATGTTCGCCAGTACATGAAGTCATTCAAAAAGTCAGCTTTTGCTCATAAACAAGATAAAAAATGACACATTGGATGTCGAAGAGGTTGAGTCTACAGGAGATGACTTCATGTCAGCCCATGGTGTCTGTTTCATTGATTCATTTGATGGTGCTGTATCCTTTGCCTATGCTGGTGATGATGGTTACCAATCAACTCAACTTACATCAACTTATAGAAGTGGGTCCAAACGGTCTAATGGAGATATGAGGAAGGGTTCACGGCATATAAAGAAACAAGCTGCAATGGATGCTTTGCATAAACCTCTGAAAAAACAGAATGAGAATTTGGCAAGATTAAATCTGTCACTGGAACAACATGATCCCCCGCCAATGAACGAGTGCTTGAAAAAGCTAGGCGGCGTAAAAAGTATTTCAATTAAAGCCATTATTGAAGTTTTTGATGCAATAAAAGACTGCAATGACAAGAAAGTTGCATTAATGACATTGAATGGAAAACAACTTCTTCGTGCTTGGATTGAACACATTGTTGTCAATCATCTTCATTTTCACTCTTTTCTGGCCTGGCGTTAGGATTTAGGGTTCTAGGAACTATTTTGTGGCAATCTGGTAGTTATTTTATTTCTTTAAAATGTGGATTTACTTTGTCCGTGCATTGTAATCATAGTGACGGTAATGTTTTTTGTAACATTTTTGAAGGGTTCTTTGCTCCCTGGGGAACTTGATGTAGAACATAGTCATCTAACATGTTATCACTTGTGTAATTTGGATCTGCCATTTTTGGACATGTCAGCCCTTGACATAGTAGGGTAATTCATGCTATAAAGTTATAACCAAATGCTGCTTTATGTGGATGTTTATTGCATAAAAGAATTGCCTTTTATGTCTGATCATTGATTTACTTATGTTAATTGCACTTAGATTATTTCTTTTCTTATTTAATATCATATAAAATTCATTTCAAAATAGAGGATGCTTTTAAGAGAATTTAAATGAATTACTGATCAATATAATTATTTTTCAAGGAAGAAATTCTCTCCAAAGCATGCTCAAGACATTCAATTCCTCTCTTGTCTCTCTCTCTCTCTCTCACACACACTCTGGCTCACTTTGCCTCTCTCACTTTCCCGATTTCTGCTTCTTCTTCTTTCTATTTCTAAAAGTGCTAATTTAAGCGTTCGTTCTCTTGTATGAATCATTCCGTCTAAGTTTTAGCATCATCCTCATAAAGTTAGGTGCTTAGTTTGCCTTTTAAATGTGCAGGATTAGTTTCTGTGATAAATGTTGTTGGATCTTTTTCTCTCTCTGTATGTTTGCATTAATCAACTTGTCATGCAAGGTGTTACTTCCAATGTTTGCAAGATTTTCATTTTTGTTTTGTGGATTTCACGCCACCTTTTGAAGGATAGATTTACTCATAGTATGATACGGAAAAGGCACAATTCAAGAAGATTTCCTGACAATATTATGTAGTTCTATTTTTTCCTCATAAAGTTAGTTAGTGTATATGATATCCCAATAGACAATTTTAATGAACTTGTAATCTGTAAAGGTGCAAGATATTGTTTTTCGATCAAAACAGTTTATGCTGAAATTGTCGCTGTTATGATTGTACTGATCATCATTATGGTTTTAGAATTCTACCCAACTTCCTATAAAAATTTACCTGCTAAGCATTGAGTTTGCTTCATATGAAAACTTAATTTGTTTGCTTAGAAGCATTCCTGATATGAGATTCTGGTGTTAAGGTTGTGCTTATTGTTTGTTTTGCAGCCTGTTCTATACATTTGTAAGTTTCAGAACTTTATGCATACTCCTGCAAACAGGTTTTAAGTTCTGCAAATTTTTATTCTTAGATTTGTAGAGAGTGCTTTTATGCTGCATTCGAGGAGGAGATTCATCGAGTTATCATGGAAAATCATTTGTTCAAGGCTGGTGAGCGGATTGCAGTTGCTGCTTCTGGCGGTAAAGGTGAGATCCTGATGATAGAATGCAGATGAAAATATCGTTTATATTTCCCTTTTTATTTTTATAATCAGTTACCGCATTTGTAATGCAGTAGTGGAATCAAAGTTCATAAAGTTGATGTATTTTCAAATTTATTTGGTTATGACTTTTTTTCGTCTAAATATATTTTGGAAGATTTACAAACATACCACTCAATTCCTATCTATTGACATATCTAACACCTGAACTTCAATTTTTACATACATACCACCTTACCTATGCATAAAAAAGGTGCTTTTCTTTTTTAAATGTTTAAATGATTGTATTTTTATGTGATATGAAAGATTTAGGTGATTGGTGGTATAAATGTAAAAAACAAAACTTACGTGTTAGAATTTGGTTATGACTTTTTTTCGTCTAAATATATGTATGTAAATGCCCCTTATAGTTTTTATTCAAGTATAAGCAATGGAAGAGCCAAAAAGATCTGAATAATACAGTCCAGCATGTGACGCTGTCTTTTTAGCGTGAAGAGCCAAAAAGATCTGAATAATACAGTCCAGCAGAAGTAATAATACAGTCACATTAACAACAAATTTGAAGATTTTGAGCTGTAGTAGATATGATGATATTACACCAGAAGTAATTTTATCCGTGCAATCAGGCCTCCAACACACACAAATGTTAGCTAGAATTAAACATTCATTTACATTTGATATGTATTTTACTGGTGTTATTGAACGGGAGGCACAGTGCTTGATTGTATTAGAAGATTCATAGCTATCGCTAATAAAGTTTTTGAGTTGAATGAATGCCATTGAACAGTGGAAGCAACAACCTGAAAAAAGTAGATTATATGCAAAAAAAAATTATAACATATTTTGCTGAAACTAACGCATTTTTTGTTACATATTGTTTTATTTTTAGATTTGTACGAAATTAAAAGATGTGCACATTTTATTCTTTTTGTTTGAAGCTATGAACTTATGGTTTGTTGCCTGTGTAGTAATAGTCCTACAAATTATTTACCAGGAGTTTGATGTTTTAGTTGTTGATTGCAGTATATTTATCTTTCATATGGATATTTGGAGAGAGGATGCTTAGGGTAGTGCTTGAACTGTAAATGGGATGTCATGGAGACGACATAAGTAGGATAAATGATTAATTCATCTCTCGTAAGTGTTCTCCAAGCATCCATCATTTGGGCTTGGTTTTTATTTAGGAAAATTTACATGCATAGCGCATATCTAACACCGAAAGTTTTATATTTAGGCTTTTAGCACTTTGGTGTCATAAACCTATGCATGACAAAAGTGCATTTTTTGTAAAATATTAGTAATATTGGCATTTTTATGTAATTTAAAGAGCTGAGTGTTATTGATGTAAATTTGAAAGTTTAGGTGTTGGATATGTAAAGAACGAGAATTTTATGGTATGTATGTAAATGCCCCTTTTATTTATTATTAGGATTAAGGTTGATCTTAAGAAGTTGATTATGATAGGACTTGATAAATCCGTGATATGTCGCAGCAATGCTAGTTCACATGCTCTTAGGAATTGCATTATCTATGAGAATTAATGCTAGCATATAAAATAAAATAAAAAAGAAAAAACGGAAGAGAGAACGTGATGTAGATGGTACTATAGTTGTTAGTCTAGTATTTATCTTTTCAGTCACTCAAGTAGTTATATGGAGATGCCCTCTATTATGTATGCTTACTTTCCCTTTTGATGACTAAAATATAGTATCCCTAAGATATGTATGCTTATTGGCATTTGTTATGAATAGATGAAGTATTAATGTGGCATATTGTTGGATTTTATGGGAAGTTTGGATGTATGGATTACTGAAATGAATATCAAGCTTCAAGAAAAAAAAAGTGTGCATGTCATTGTGTTTCTCATGTTTTTTTTCCTCAAATTGTATTTGTCTTGTTGAAATGCTTTTTTTGCAGATTGATGATGTTTATTTTATCTCTCTTTGGTTTTATTTGTAATACTCTAGGTCTTATATGTAATACTCAAGCAAAACATTATTTCTTGATTTTTTTCTCTTTCCAAAGTGTGTTACATTAATCTCTTTTGTCCCTTTTTATGTTGCCATTTTACTATCTATTTAAATTTTTACAGATGTGGACTTGGGGTCTGTTTGGGACATCTTTTTTGCTCTTTTGCTTATTCAGACAATTCTGGTTCTATTTGGTTAATATTTTCTTATTGCTTTCAAAAATGTTTTGTGGTAGGAAGATGCTTTGTAACCAAATTTGCTAAAGTTTGGTAAATGGCAATTAAAAAATGTTTTTTGATTTTTTTATGAAAAAATATATATTTGTAATGCCCTAATATATTTTTTCAAAAAAGCTTTTTTGTACGACAAATTTATAATCACCTTTATAAAAAACTACAATTGCCCAAATGGATCCTTAACATTACTTGTTTCCTCTAAATTTATGTTAACTCGAACTTTTTCTTTTCCAATGATCCAATCCCAGAAAAAAAAATATTTTTTTAGAACTCTTTAGAAATCTTTTTTTTTTTTCGGAGTTCAAAATAATTTTTTACAGTAATAACTTTTATATTATATCCATAAGGTATCCTAATATTGTACATTAAATTGTGAGAGTGGGCATAAAGAAAGATTTATAGTTGGGTTATGCTATCGATTCATAGTATCCAAATTTGTACATTTAATTTTGAGAGAGGGCCTAAAAGAAGCTATTATGACTAGGGAGAGAAGAAAGCTATGGTATGTATTGAGTATGGGGCGGCTTTGATCTAACATTCACTTGTATTGAGCTAGCCTCCCAGCATGCTTACCATCTTTTGATTTAAATTCAATTGTACTGAGACATGCATGCAAAAAATAACAAAGAATAAAAAAGAAGAAGAAAAATTTGTATTGTGACATGCTAAATGTTGGCAACTTTAAGGACACTTTTGGGGCAGTGGTGTGGTGGTGGTGTAGTGTCGCTATGTATTTTGTGGTGTCTGAAAAAGCTGTATTTTGCTTGTTTTTTTTTTTCAAAAGTTTCATTGGGAAGCTGATTTTTGTAACATGATCTGACTAAGTTGTAATCTTGAATTTTTAAAAAAAAAAAAAATGGTAATAGTCATAACAATTTTTTGAATAACAGTTCTTCTGCAGTAGCTTCACGATTGCTTCTTCCAAATAACTGTAGTTGGCCCAGTGAGAACCTAAGTGTACTTCCAATTTTAAAGAATTCCTTTATTTAGTGCACAAACCAAACTAAATTGAGTGTCAATGCTTTCAAGTTGTTTTTCAAAGGAAGCTTATTTCTCTTCCATTTGTCTTTGCATTTAAGATGTTCTTTAATGGAAGCATTTTTTCAACCATATGTTAAAAAAAAAAATCAAATGACTCTAATCTTCCTGCAGGCCTCGATAAATGATTGGTTTAGTTAAATATCCAACATAATGCATCAATTTGTGAGGTATTATCTGCCAAGAAATATGTGAGTGCATTTCATTTCAACTTGTACACAATTTATATAATTTTATAAAAGAATCTAACACGGAAAATATTAAATTAGAGAATGAAACAAACCACAATGAGTAAACAATCAAGATATTGCGAACATTGAGACGACAATAAAAAATTAAGGAAAATGGAAGAAGTCTTGGTGTGTATGCGGCGCTAGCTTGTGAAAATTATTTAGGCATTTCCCAATTCCCACTCTACCTCTAGCTAATGTATGGATCTTATTCATTCTAAGTTTTTTTGATAATTTCTATAAGGTTGCCACTGATAACCTTCTAGTGAGAATATCAGTAAATTGCTCGCTTGTGCTTACAAACAGAGTATAAGATAAATCACCATTAAGCTTCTTTTTTATTAAGTGTACGAGATTTTGTGAATATCGATGCTAATTTTTTATCAAAGTAAAATTTAATAGGACTTGTATATTTGACCTTTAAATTTCCCAGGATAATTTTTAACGAGCAATTCACAAATTTTAATGCCACAGATCTAAATTTAGCTTCTATGGAGAATTTTATTGCCATATTTTATTGTTTCTTTTTTAATTCACAAGCTTATTTCCTAATAGTGTGCAATGTCTTAAAGTTAACCTATCAACCTTATGACTCACATAATGTGCGTTTTTGTAAGTTAGATCTTTTCCTTTTTTTTTTTTTAGTTAACCTATCAACCTTATGACTCACATAATGTGCATTTTTGTAAGTTAGATCTTTTCCTTTTTTTTTAAAAAAAAATATTTCTTTTACCTAAATTCCCTTCAATCATTATAGAAATCTATACAATGCTCTAAGATGCGATTTTTTAAGATTATACTCGAATTGACTTTTTTGCACAAACGAGTAGATAGTGGTAGATCTTCTATATAATAAGTGAGCAAATCTTCCTACTAGTCTCTAATATGGAGTTTTTTTGTTCTCAATGGGCTTGCATCACAATTTACCTGTCTAATATAATAGATGTGTTACGATTATTTTTGTTATATCAATATTCCATATCGAGAGTGTGTAATTTTAATGCAATAAAATACTCCAGAATTCAAATTCCTAGAGCACTTTTTTTTTCAAACTCTCCATTCTTTCCAAGTCACAGTCTATTATGATAATATCTCCAACATAAACTAAGTGTTAAGACTCTACTTAAAATCACGTGTTTTACTCATAGTCTATTATATACTTTTTTTGTATGCCATATTGATCATTACATTGGTAAACATTTAGAACCATCCTCTTAGAGATTGCTTCAGCCTGTTTGCCTTTTTTAACTTGCATACTTTTTTTTTTAAGAATAAAGGAGATGTAAAAGAGTGTACAAATTATAGTGGAATTAAGCTGATATTTCATACTTTAAAATTATGGGAGAGGGCAATTGAACATAGGTTAAGACGTTATACAATAATTTCTCATAATCAGTTTGAATTTATGCCGCATAGGTCTACTATGAAAGCTATATATTTTTTGAGAGGTTTGATGGAGAAGTTCATAGAGAATAAGGAGGATCTACATACGATTTTTATTGATTTAGAAAA